GAGAGAGAGAGGGGCAGTTGGACAGTCATAAGTGTTCGGACAGCGAAATATATAATTAGAATTTATTATTTTTTTCCTTTTGAGTGGAAAGTGAGGGTATTTTTTGTTACTAGCCTAACAAAATTATCATTATCCTTCTGCGCAAAAATGAAGTAAAGTGAAATTGAAAAGGAAAATTTAACATAAATTTAAAATTTTTTAGAATGAATTATAATTTTAAGAAAAATGGGATTGAAATCTAATAAAGTGATCGATTATACCTTTTGTATAAGAGTTTATATTTAATGTATTGATAATGTATAGAAGCTATACACTGTAAGCCACTAAAATGTTATATCTCATTAATGAGATAAAACTAGAATTCATCATAGACTTAAAATTAAATTTAACATTTAATAAGGTAAAAAATTAAATTTTCTTTACTCTCTTTAAAATCTCTTCCACGTTTCTCTCTAACCCTCACAAGTTTTTACAAATCTTCCATGTTTCTTTGAAAAATCTTTAGGATCTTGTTTTTCTTCATTTTGGTTTAAAGTTATTTTTTTCTTTCGAGTTTAAACTGCAAAAGGAAAGAGTAACTTTCTAAACTCTAATCCACGTTTCCCTCTAACCTTTCACTTGTTCTCTTTAAATAATCGAAAATTTATTCAAGTTCAGCTTTACTTTACATGTGATTGACTAAAATTTATCTTCCATGTCTTTAGAATCTTGGTTTTCTTCTTTTCGGTTAAAGTTTGTTTTTTCTTTCGGGTTTAAAGTGCAAAAGGAAATGAGTAACTTTCTCTCTAAACTCTAATCAACTTTTCTCTCGAACCTTTCTCTTGTTCTCTTTAAACAATCGAAAATTTATTCAAGTTTAGTTTTATTTTACATGTCATTGATCAAGATTTGAAATCGACAATGAAATTTTATATTTAGAGTAAGAGATTTGAGATTGAGAGTCTTCAGTCTATATTATTGTTATCAATTCAATTAGATATTTTCATAAGATCATAATGGGGTATTTGTTTTTTATATGTTTTCTAATGAAAGAACTCATGGATTGATTTTTTTTTTATAAAGAGTACTCATGAATTGATTTAACCATCTTGATTCCTTAAAACATGAGACATGCAAGATTTTTATTTTGATTCGTTTCTATGGTACTAGACATAAGTTAGGTATGTTATACTGTTTCTGCAATCTCCCTAGATCTAGATCTATGTTATAATAGTGCAAAAGGGGAGAAATTATGGAGGAGAGTTTAGATAGAAAGTAGAAGCTTTTAATTATCATCGTTATTGAAATTGCTTAATTTTATCAAATTTAATTTTAATGGAAGAAAAAGAAGAGAAGAAGATGATGGAGTTGGAGAGAGTTAAGAAAAACAAGAAAAGAACAATTGAGAGGAAGTTGGAGAAGGAAAAAATATTGT